TTGTAATATGAGCATTGGTAAAAAATGGTTGCTGAAGACATTAGGTTTATAATACCCAGAAATTCATACACATACAATGACACATGGCACAGTAGATAAAGGCATTAGTTAGACCCAGTGACAGGACCCAAAGAGTGCGAGTTCAATACCTGGTTAAGGCAGTGGAGAACTTTCAGAGGGAAAATTAACAGGAGATAACTGATAACTGACATCCATTAGACATGGCACGTGGAACTAGAACAGTCTACCCCAGTGATAGAAAAAAAGGGTTCAGTTAGACATTCCAACCATACAAAAAAGGCCGGAGTGTACAGCGGCCGAAACGTTGTAATAAATATGGCGACAAAGATGAGGACAATAGTCCGAATAATGTAAATAATGCTGATTAATGAATTCATATTATTATAATTTATAATGACCTTCACTTTCATTTCTGTTCGAATAGTAAGAGAGAGATTGATAAATAATTAAAGTTTTTCGCCGTCTTCTAATAACGCTATCGCTACTTCCATGGCAAATGTCCGGATAAGCTCCATTTTTTTAGTTCCAACAGTTCAGCCATTTACAACTAAAACTTGCCATGCTATATCCACGGATCACCTGTTACATATAATGAATGACACATTGCCCATTGGATAAAGACGTTGGTTAGATCCAGTGACTAAACCCAAAGAGTTGTGAATTCAGCAGTGGTTAACCGAAACTTGGAGAGTTGAGTTAAAGGGAGATAACTGAGAGGCATGGCAACTAGATCAATCTACTCTGGTGGACGAAATATAGAGTTCGATTCGAAATTACAATCACCTGAAGAAGGCCGGAGCGTAGAACGAACGAAACGTTGTGAATATTGCAATGAAGATGAGGATAACAGTCTGAATAATGTAAATAATGCAAGTAATCATAATACCTCATCTCAGGGATATAGACAGATATTGAATTGAATTTAGAATAATTGTGGTAGAATGAATTATTTTAGTAATGTGCGCAGGGTTAGTGTTTTTATTATTATATGTACTGGTTTTACTTTATTTTAAGATGAAAAAATATATTGCACTTTTCAATATATTTATTGTTTTTTTTTTTTTCTTTACTTACGTTCAGTCAATATAAAATTCAAGAGCCAATCAAAGTAGAAAATGTCTACTTGGAATTAAAGGGAAATAACTCTCCGGGTAAAAAAGTGTAGTTGTTTGCCCGGGGAAGGAAGAAGGATGTAATATGGCGACCAAATAAATCTATTCATTTTTCTACATTTCTGTCTCCGTTTTATCTCTGTTGATTCGTTTTCCTTGCTCCAAGTTACACAGTAAAAGCAAGTCATTAGAGTAGGCGATATACCAATGACTGAATGAGGTGCGTTTTATGATTGTAAGGAAGCAATGATTACGTGAATATAGACGAGAGGCAACGATTGACCTTTGACTTGAATAGGTTATGACCGTATCGTTCGGGGAAGCATCCATTCAGGGTTTTATTTCACAAAGCAGTAGTTCTTGGGATAAAACGCTTAGTAAAACTCCCTCCTTGGAATTGGAATACGGAGGGAATACGGGTGATTCAACTCTTTGTCCGTGGCGTGGTGTGTCTTAGTTGTAAATCTCTGAACTGACGGAACTAAAAATGGAGCTCGCTCGAAAATTTAGCATGCAAATAGCGACAGAGTAGTGTTTTCACTGATCTTTTCCTTGCATCCCACCCCACAAAAAAACATGGCTGTTTTGTTAGACGAGTCAAAAGAGATTTTTACGTTAGCAGCAAGACCAGTTTGAGAAATCTGAAGTGAATTTAATAACAGCTCTGACACAGCAATTTTAAATTCAATTTTCTGCTCAGAATTCTGTAAATGCGATCGAAAACAGTTCTGTCGATTTTCTGGCAAATTTTATTTCGCCATCCGAGTCCGATCCTTTTAATAACGCCATTTTGTCTTCGTGGCTTCAACGTTGGAGGTGCATTTTTGAACGTGACTTTTCACACAAATATCACGACTTTTGGTCCATAAATGAGAAACTAAAGAATACGAACGTTTCACAATTGTTTTTCTGTCCAAATGCCTTTCAAATTTAACGTTCACGGAAACTATTGGACAATCAACCGAAATTTAACTGGTATTCAGCAGTCTCTTTTCCACATCAGATTCAACTGTTTAAAAATAACGAAAAGCGTGTCGGATGACTACGTAACCATTGCAGATTACGTTAATCGTTAAAGTGAGAAATTCCAGCTTCAGACACTGAAGACCAATTTAAATATCTCATCTTCATCGCTGGCCTTAAATCTTCAAATGACAGATGTGCGCATATGGCTGTTATCCAAACTGGAGCACGACAAAAACATAACCCTGAAATCTCACACGGTAGAATACGAAAGACTTTTAAGTATTAAAATAGACAAAGTAATGGTTCAACAACGACAGGCCTCGCATCCAAATTCGTCCACAGCTAGCAGCATCCAAGCAAAGAATTCATCACGCGTGTCAAAGTAAACTTCTTGTGCATGTGGATTTTGCAATCATTGGCATTATTCTTCTTCCTGTCCGTACAAAAAAAAAAAAAAAAAAACATAAATATCAGTTATGTTACAGACGCGGATACAAGGAAAACTTTTGCCGCCTCTCGTGAGATAGAACTTCCGATTCTACTTCAAAGCCAGTCCATTAGAATTTTTGAACAATCGTTTTAATAAGCAAACATGTTCACATTCGGTGTCGGCGACGTTTAAAGTTGAATTTGAATCCAGCAGAAAGTATATTACTGTTTATGTCCACAAAATCCGAGTTGGTTTTTCAGTTTGATACAGCTTCAGACATTACGTTAATTTCAGGGCCCACGTGGAAACAATTAGGAAAGCCGTACTTATTGAAAACGAACCACATTGTTCGGAGTGCTTATGGTGATGAAATTCTGCTATCCAGTGAGTTGAATTCAAGTATTTTTTTTTTTTTTTTTTTTGAGAAACGTTTCTCGGGTACATGTTACGTCGCGGATTCTGGTCTCAATTTGATTGGTCTTGACTGGATAGACGTACTGGATGTTTTCTCTAAACCACTCAACACTGTATTTAGCACATTTGCTCTTTTCTCAGTTTCCGATATTGAAAATTACTTTCACATTCTCTCAAAACGAAGTTCAGTGATGTTTTACATGCAGAATCTCGGGTGTCTGTACCAAAGCCAACCCTCAAATTGAAACCCGATCTGATGCCAGGTTTTAGGCCCAAACGCCATGTTCTTTATGCCGCTCTTGACTTAGTAGAAAAGGAGTTAAATCGCTCGAAGCAAGCCGGAGTAATCCAGCCAACAAATTACTCAGCAGCTCCATTATTGTAGCCAAGAAAGCAAGCGGTAAAGTTCGTATATGTGCAAATTTTTCTACAGGTTTAAATGACCCCTTAGATGTACATTACTATCTGTTACCCACACCAAAAGATATTTTCACTAATCTTAATAGGGGAACTTGCTTTGCAAAGATTCATTTATCTGATATTTTTTTTAGGATTCTAAGGAACTACTGACGATCAACCCCCATAAAGGTTTCTTCGAATAAAATCGGCTTCCTTTTGGCGTTAAGTCAGCGCCTGCTTTATTCAAGCAGGTGATAGATGCTATACTGAATGCTTTAAGTGGAACTGCTGCATTTATTGATGATACTATTATTGCAAGTGAAGCTCAAAACCGTTTATTCTCCATCTTTGAACGGATTCAGCAAAATGGTTTTCATGTCCAAGCAGAAAAAATGTCAGTTTTTCCGGACGTCGATCAAGTACCTAGGTTTTATATTTGATAAACGTGGACGACGACCAGAGCCAGAACATATTGCTGCTATCAAAAGTATACCAGAACCATTAAACATTACAAAATTACGTTCTTTTCTAGGCTTGGTCAGCCATGACAGTCTATTTTTACCGGAACTCCATCATGTTCGTATTCCTCGAAACAATCTTCTGAAAAAGGATATTCCATGGACCTGATCACCAGACATCCTGTCGGCCGGGGCTGTAGAATACGCCTACCGTACCTCTGCAGAGGGGTCCTTCCCCAATAGGCGTCTGGGTAAGATGATAAACTACATCCGCGTCCTGGGTAAGACGATAAACTACGTCCAAAGGTTTTGAGGAGCGTGGAACCATCTCTTAATTGCTGGTGTCCCTAGGTCCACCCTGATTCGGGGTGGTAGCACCTGTTAGGATCCTAGCTATGGGCAAATAGTTAACCCCCAAACTAGGGTCAAAACACTATGAAAGTGTAAAAATAACTTTTAATACCAACAATATATTATATTTAAAAATTATTACCAGCAGTGAAATTTTGAAGAAAAAATTATTACCAGCAATAAAAATCCTGTCGACATTAAGTAACCCACTGAGGTTGATATGCCGTAAAGCAAAACAAACCAATCCAAACCTGGTTACCAGAATGTCAGTCTGCCTTCAAAAAGATAAAATCTTTGCTTGCATCAGTCTTCTTTCTCACACATTACAACCCATCTTTTGACCTCACTGTGATTTTGGATACTTCAGGCTATGGTGTTGGAGCCGTGATTTCTCACACTTTTCCTGGTGGTAGTCAGATGGCCATTGCTCATGCAGCAAGAATTTTGACTCCTGCTGAGCTGAACTATGGTCAAGTTGAGAGGGAAGCTTTGGCAGTTACACCGGTTTTTTCCGACCCAAATTTTGTTGGGCAATGGGCACGTGTTTCTAGGCTGTTTTTTTCCCGATGAATCTGAAAATCAAGTCTATTTTGCCCCATCACATCACATTTTCTTAGTACAGATAATTTCTATTTTTCTTAAAATAGGCCATAATACCCATTTAACTGTGATATGCCAGAGCCAAGTGGAACCAACCTTAAACATTTTCAGGTTAGAATAACTTATCGTAACAGAAAAGATAGCTACAGTCTCTGTGGCATATAGATAGATATGGATACATTGTGATAGATAGAAACAGATTAAAATAAATAGGTACAGTCTGTGACAGATATATGGATAGGAACATACAGTGATAGATAGATAGATAGATAGATAGATAGATAGATAGATAGATAGATAGATATGAACAGACTTGCAAATAGATAGAAAAACATACAGACAGATAGGAAGAGAAATAGATAGATAGATAGATAGATAGATAGATAACACCGGTTGATATTTTTTTGACCGAAATGTTATTGGGGAATGAGCACGTATTTCCGGGCTATTTTTCCCGCTGAATCTGAAAACCAAGTCCTTTTTCCCCACATCACATCACGTTTTCTCAGTACAGTTAATTTCTATTTTGCTTTAAATAGGCCAAAATGCCTAATTCACAGGGATATGCCACGGCTAAAATATGCGAGTGATATAGTTGAAACATTTCATTTCATGTTAAAATGATTTATTATTCAGGAAAAAGTATCCAAATGAGTTATTTCATTTCAGATAAGCTGACCTGAAAATGCTTGATTTTATGAGAGATATCTTCCTGGAAAACGTTCTTGTGTTCTCAATGTTCTTAGCTTGTTAAAACTGTGATTTGTGTTTCTTCTCTACTTTTCGTAGAAGAATCTTTTTAGAAGTCATTCAAGAACATCGATTTTAGTTTTTATTAGTAGTTTTCACTTTAAGCCTGAAACCGTCATAAGATTTTATCATATCATTTAAGTTTACGGGGGTCTTGTATTGTGATGCAGTTTCTGTATAACACGCATAAGAACATCGACAAATGAGGGTTGTTGGGGTGTTAGGCAAGTGGATTTGAGATTAGCAAGATTAGAATTTTCTTTATCAGCGCTTAGAATAGCCGCCAAACACCAGATAGGCACAGCCAACTAGGCACTTTGCAAATGGCATGTTAACATAATGGCTGATTTCTGCAGGAACATTAAAAGAGATCAACCTTTTGAAAAACACCGTAGAGTTTCCAAGAAGAGAATATTTATTCCTTTGGATGGACAAAAATGAATGCATTTTTTTTATTCCTTTGTATCTTTGTTTTGTTTAAAAAATTGATGACTTAAATTTTATTTTGTGTGAGATTTTTCTGAAAACTTTTTCTGAACTGAAAATGCTGAAAATGCATTCTTCAAGTTATTGGTAAACTTTTAGGATAAGTTATTCTAACCTGAAAACATTTAAGGTTGGTTTTCTACTTGATCCTGACATATCACTGTTAAATGGGTATTTTGGCTTATTTTAATCAAAATGGAAAATTATCTGTACTAAGAAAACGTTATGTGATGGGTGATGGGAGTAAAATGGATTTGATTTTCAGATTCAGCGTGAAAAAATAGCCCAGAAACATTTGCCCATTGCCCAACAACATTTGGGTCGAAAAAATGTCGACTGGTGTCTGATTTACCATAAAGATTAGTTTGGTTTGGTTTAATGTTTTACAGCATATCAACCTCAATGAGTTATTTAATCCTGACAAAGTGTTTTTGCTGGTAATATTTTGTTTTGTCAAAAATCTATTTCTGGTAATAATTTTTCCTTCAAAAATATTGCTGCTAATATTTTTTCAAAAACGTATTGTTGGTAATAGTTTTTTTTTTTAAAATGTATTGCTAGTAATAGTTTTTTTTTTCGTCAAAAATTTATTGCTGATAATTTTTTTTCTGGTATTAAAACCCATTTTTACCCCAGTTTCAGGGTTAACTATTTGCCCATAGCTGGGACCCTAACAGGTGCTATCACACCAGGTCAGGGTGGTCCTTGGAACACCAGCAATTAAGAGGTGGTTCCACGCTCCTCAAAACCTCTTGATCAGAGGCCTAAAAACGTAGTTTATTGTCTTATCCAGGACGCGGATGTAGTTTATCGTCATACCCAGGACGGGCTATAAAGAAATTTCACAAAATGCTTTATGGACGTAAATTTATCTTGATTACTGACCACAAACCCCTGGTTAATATTTTTGGATAAAAATGTATTTGTGTATATACTGCAAATCGGTTAAAAAGATGAGCCACGATGTTATTGCATTATGACTTTACAATTAACCACCAATCAATTCAAATGGCCAGGCAGCTGCCTTATCCAGGCTTATGTCTATCCACCAGAATCTATCTGAAGACTCCATTGTTGCTGCAGTGGAATCAGAAATTGTTTCAGTGCTTACAGCTATTGTTAAAGTACTGCCTGTCAGCGCGCAGACGATCCAGGAGGACACAGCTTCTGACCCACTGTTGCAGAAGGTGATTCACTACCACCGTACAAAGTGACTTACACAGGTCCGGACAAAGATCTTCAAACTTTTTACCATAAGAAATCTTCATTGTCCGCAGTGGAAGGCTGCATTCTTTTTGGAGGACGTGTGACTGTTCTATCGACTTTACTAAAATGTCATTTAGCATCGAAATCTCCGAGGAAATCGGAACTCATTTCTTGGCTGTTCAAGATTCCCTTTGGTTATGTCTTCATATTGATTTTGCAGAACCTACCGATGGAAAATGTTTTCTGTTACTCGAGGATGCCTACAGTAAATGGTTTGAAATTTTCTGAAGAAACCATTCTAAAATCACAGCACATCTTCAACAGATTCGGGGTCCTGGAGATTTTAGTCCCTGACAATGGCTCTGCTCTCAATTCAGCGAAATTTTCAGATTTCTGCCAGCAGAATGATATCAAACACATACACATAACACCATTCCGTCCATAATCGAGTGGACAAGTTGAGCGATTCGTGGATACCTTTAAGAGGGCTCTCCAAAAGTTAAAAGGGGAGGGCACAATAACCGAAATATTGGAGACATTCCTAACAGGTTAGAAAGTCACACCAAACACAGCCACAGCTAAAGAGTAGCTCACCTGCCGAGGCTCTGATCCACCGCAAATTCGGTGATATGTAGACGTCATACGTCCAAGTAGACAAAATTCTCACAAAAGATACAGAGCAATGGAATAACAAATCAACCGCCATCATAGTGCAGTAAGTCATATTTTTAAACCGGGCCAAGGGGTCTTAGCAAAAGACTACCAAAATGGCAGAGAGAAGTGGACACAAGGTGTCAATTGGAAAGAGTTGGATGAGTCTAATGATGATTACGAAGGTGTTTGGAGTGATCACTAGAAATGGCGACATTGTGCCTCCATTTATCTTATCACGGGGCCTCAAACTCAACACGGAGATCTACATCAAATGACTTGAGAAGGTAGTACTGTCCTAGGTCAAGAGGGTGGCTGTTTGAAGACACTATGTCTGGCAACAGGACTCTGCACCATGCTACAATAGCAGGAGAACACAGTCATGGCTGCCAGACAGTTGACTGACAGCCATGTCCCCGCCCACATCACCTCTTACCACGCAGACTGCAACCCCTTTGATTTATATGTGCGCAGCTGAGCGAGAGACCAACAAAACTCCTGGTAACATCAAGGTAAGAATTATGGCAGCATTCACCAAATTAAACAAGGAGACCATCCAGAAGAGATGCAGGAGATTCTTAAATTATCTGGCGACCGTGGTTGAAGCCAAAAGCGATTTTATTGGATAAACATTTCATTATTATTATTAAAATATATATTATATTAACAATATTGTTATATATATATATATATATATATATATATATATATATATATATGCATGCATTCGGTGCACCAGGTTTCTGTATTCGTCCCTCCAAAAAGTTTGGTTGGTCCTGCACGAGGCCTTCACCACTATAATCAAATCTCATGTGCCGGTGTCAGGATGTCGGTTTCCTGGGGACTTATCGGCCTGACCCTCATACGTCGAACGCGACAGGAGAGTCGATATATATATATATATATATATATATATATATATATATATATATGTGTGTGTGTGTGTGTGTGCGTATATGTGTGTGTGTATTGTATGTGTGTGTGAAAAATTCAGATAGTACAATGATGAAATTCCTCAACGAATGAAACGCGTTAGAAGTAAGTAATTTCTTATATAAGATAAGCTTAGTACATTATCTATCTATCTATATATATATGAAGAAAAAATAACAAAAATCCGAATATGCAATTATTCTGTTTTAATGTTAATTTAATGTCGACGTCAGACGTTTCGGTCTAGTAGACCTTCTTCAGGACATAGTTATTAAAACATAATTAACGTGACGGCGACGTGATCATATTGTGAAACGGAACGCTGATCTTAAAAATTTCAGTTATTCTGCTTTGATTAGTCTTTCTCTTATGTCCATCGTCTAATATTAATATCGTCTAATGTTAATTATGTTTTAATAACTATGTCCTGAAGAAGGTCTACTATACCGAAACGTCTGACGTCTTCATTAAATTAACATTAAAACAGCATAATTGCATATTCGGATTTTTGTTTTTCCATATATTTTCTTCATACTGTCGGGTCTATATCCATATATTTGCTTACATTTTATAATCTCTAATGGAGCTGAACATTATTTTTATGTTTAGTTGCATTTAAACTGATCAAATTTTATTTCAGCGAACAATAAAATTAATTTTGTTTGATTAAAACCCTGCTAATATGGAAGTACCCAACAATCATTTGAGGCACATAATGCTTTATGAGTTCAAGAAAGGAAACTCAGCAGCCGAAGCGAATAGAAACATTCACTCAGTTTATGGAGAGAAATGTGTGAATGAAAGAACTTGCAGAAGATGGTTTGCAAAATTCAGAGGTGGAGATTTCACCCTTGAAGATGAAGATCAAACCGGACGTCCAGTTGAATTTGATGAAAAGCTTCTTGAAGCAGCCCTTGAAGAAAATCCTGCTTTATCAGTTGAGGAATTAGCAGTGGTTCTCAGTTCAAACCATACAACTGTTCATCGTCATCTTCAACAACTTGGAAAAGTTCCTAAACTTGGAAAATGGGTGCCTCATGCATTGTCTGAAAACAACCTCAAATCCTGAGTTGACATCTGCTCTTCTCTCCATTCTCGTCAACTTGTTTCACCTTTTTTGCATAGACTTGTGACTGGTGACGAAAAATGGATCTTTTATCGAAATGTTAAGCGTCGTAGACAATGGCTTGGTAAAGGGGAAGGACCCCAGCCACAGCTGAGAAGGGAATTTCATGGGCAAAAGGTCTCTTCTTTCAATCTGGTGGGATCGCCAAGGAATAATCCACTTTGAATTCTTAACACCTAATGCAACAATTAATGCTCAAATATACTGTCAGCAATTAGAGCGTTTGAACCAAGCTTTGAGGAAAAAAAGACCTGCTCTAGTGAATCGAAAAGAGGTGATGTTTCATCAGGACAATGCGCGACCCCACACAGCAAGAATCACGTCACAAAAGATCGAAGAACTTGGTTGGGAGAAAATTCCTCATCCACATTATTCTCCCGATTTTGCTCCTTCAGACTACCATTTGTTTCGTACCTTATAGAATCATTTGGAAGTAACAGCTTTTGTAACACAGGAAGAGGTTAAAACTGACATTTGTGAGTTCTTCGAATCAAAGCCAAAAGAATTTTACAGTAATGGAATTAGTAAGCTTGTTAATAGATGGAAGGAAGTCATAGGTAATCAGGGAAAATACATTGTGATTGAATCTGTAATTAAATGTAACATTTGGTCACTTGTTTTCTTTATTCAAAATTCGGACAGAACTCATGGGATGACCTGATAAATATATATAGTTCTTTTTTTGTGTGCTTCCGATCAATTCTCACACATAAGGAAATCAGTTTACCCTACTATTTAATTGGGAGGTTGAAAAAAAGGAGGTCTTTTGCTTTTTCCGAAGTCATTAGTACGCCTAAGCAGCAATTTGAATTTGGCTCGCCAATTCCACTTTAAGCACCGATAACCGTATCGCTACCCGTAAATCCCTTATTGATCCACTTAATGCAGTAAATATTTCTATGGAAATATTCTAGGTTGTTTTCAAAAGGGTTGCACAGAAACGACACAACCATCCTAAGCGACTATGAAAAATGGGTGGAAGCCTATGAATCTTCGTTTTTCAAGTTAATAGCCTACCAAACTGTTTACCTTTCTGGATTACCTGATGAATAAAAATCGAAAGGACTGTTTATTTTAGTCGTACTTTTATTGAGAATTCACTGAGTCAAATAAAGACAGGATTGGCTCTCACTTGTGTGACGCTGTTTAAATAGGAAATAGAGTTTTCAATATATGTTCAGACATTTTCCTAACGACAGCTAGACGCAAAAAGGGGAGATAAATCTTGTGCTACAAGACAACGCCCCAGAACACAAAAGGTATACAACAAGTTTTGAATAACGGCAAAAGTCGATAGATCGTATAGAATAAAAAAATTTTTTTTTTCGAACGGCTTGAATCTCATACAGGTTCTGGCTCTCTCACTTTTCTTTGAACCAAAATATATGTCCTATTTTAAAGGATATACAATATTTATTCAGTATCCGGTTATCTGGATTAAGGGTTGAAAAAATTATCCAGATCATTCAAAATTTCGGATAATTGAATATCTAAGTCATTTTTTTTAAAGGACATACAATATTTCATGGAATATCCGGTTATCCGGATTATGGGTTGAAAAAAGTTCGGATCATTCAAAATTTCGGATAATTGAATATCTAAATTATCTTTTTTTAAAGGACATGCAATATTTATTTAGTATCCAGTTATCAGGATTATAGGTTGAAAAAAGTTGGGATCATTCAAAATTTCGGATAATTGAATATCTAAATTATCTTTTTTTTAAAGAACATACAATATTTCATTGAGTATCCGGTTATCCGGATTATGGGTTGAAAAAAGTTGGGATCATTCAAAATTTCGGATAATTGAATATCTAAATTATCTTATTTTAAAGAACAATATTTCATTGAGTATCCAGTTATCAGGATTATGGGTTGAAAAAAGTTCGGATCATTCAAAATTTCAGATAATTAAATATCTAAATAATCTTTTTTAAAGGACATACAATATTTCATTGAGTATCTGGTTATCAGGATTATATCTTGAAAAAAGTTCGGGTCATTCAATATTTCGGATAACTGAACATCTAAATTTTCTTATTTTAAAGGACATACAATACTTCATTGAGTATCTGGATTATGGATTGAAAAAATCATTCAAAATTTCGGATAACTGAATATTTAAATTATCTTTTTTTTTAAAGAACATACAATATTTCATTGAGTATCCGGTTATCAGGATTATGGGTTGAAAAAAGTTGGGATCATTCAAAATTTCGGATAATTGAATATCTAAATTATCTTATTTTAAAGGACATACAATACTTCATTGAGTATCCGGATTATGGATTGAAAAAAATGTTCGGATCATTCTAAATTTCGGATAATTGAAACTAAATTATCGAAAAGAAAAATGAAGAAATTTAAGATTT